AATGTCCTCCTCTCTACTGGCCAACACAGGGAGCATATGCTGGGTGTAGAATTGTTCCAGGAGGAGGAGATTTCCATGCCATGCAGGGTCTTTGGGGATGAGGATGATGATCGACTCCTTCGTGGTCCACACAACAAAGTAGCAGAGACTCCGGTCTGTGATGTGCAGCTGCCCTTGGACCTGGTACCAGTATGGTGATTCTCCTTGAGAATATATGACCCACCCTCCTCACGGAGACAGAAGGATGGTAACTGGACTGCCTCCGCGATGGTCATGTTCCTCTGGCTGTGTGGACACTTCACCTCCAGCAGGGCAGATGGCTGCACAAGTCCATCGCGTGATGCTCCCAAAACACCTGACTCACTCACAAAGAGACCAGACTCGAACACTGTCACCCGATAGGCCTGCACAAAAGCCTTCACCCCTTTGGCCTCGTTTACAACCCCCCAGTTGACAGTTGGCGATGTATCGATGTATCTCTGCATCGCGCCATCGTCTCCCATGCAGATCTGTAAAAATAAAGCAAGTACCATTTGTTAGCATGCTATAATAGATTGAATGAGCAATAATACAAGGATGGTCCGGATCTGGGGGTGGGAGGGTTTATTTTTCCATAGTTTTGTCCTCTTGTCTGATTGTTGTTATTGTTTGTTTTTTCTGTATTTTTTGTAATTTGTGCTGTATTGGTTGTGATTGTACATTGTATTTTTCTAAATGTGTATGAATACATTTTTTTTAAACATTTGATCAACAATAAAAAAGGATTTGGTCAGGATCTAGACTCAGTGTGTAGTTTATTAATTAATCAATGCTCTCTACATTAGGAAAACACATACCAGTGTACCAGAGGGAGTCACACACAGCTGTGCCTAGATAACCAAAATCCTTGAATCTACACACAGCAAATAAAGTCAAATGACACAACGAGAAAAAGGAGATCACACATACAGTATAATAGATATAAAACTGGCCGCTTCAATCTGAAGAGCAACTAAAACAAAACACGGGAGTGTACCTTGTTCTTGTGAACACTAATGTTATCCACAGCATACACAGAGACCACGAATTTCTTAAGGAGAAAACTAGTTACTAAAACAAAACACGTTAGTGTACCTTGTTAGCTAATGTTAGCTAGCTGACATTAACGTTACACATTGCACTCATATTACTCACCGGTCCCGCATGCTGGCTCTTACAGAACCGACTAACTCCCCTTTCGTGTATGTACAGCTCTCAACATGCCCAGACTTGTAGTGATGTTCACCTCGTTTTATACTTTTCGCCTCATTCTGAAAGAAACAGGTGAAATTTGCTAACGTGACGGCCGTCTTTGTGATGGTGACGCGTATTGTGCAAGACTAGGGGTGGGCGGATCGATCCCAAAATATCGATACTTCCGATATTACGTTACGTTTCAAAATATCGATACTAGAGCCAATAGGATCGATACTGTTATACTTTTTTTCTCGTCTCCTAAAACTATGTGCAGACGAACACAAGTAGCCTATATGCTCTTTTCTTCTCTCTCCACTGCTGTCCTCTTCTCCTCGAGGCTCCCTGTCTGAACGCCGATTATCAAGCTGACTGACAGCAGCCAGCAGGGCAGGACAGCAGCAGCCAGCGACTCGCGAGTGCAACACACACACGCGCATGATGGCTGAGAGAAAGAGCAGCGTTGTGTGGAGCAATTTCACAACTGGCAATTAAAACTTAGCGAACTGTGATGTGTGCAAGAAGACAGTTCGCTACTTTGGCCACTTTGTATTGTTATTTTTCATGTTTGCACTTTCAATTTGCAAAAGAAAAACGTGTATTTGTCTATAAAAACTGTCCTGTCTTTATTCATGAAAATGAATTCAGATTTAGTCTATTTATGATGATTTCAGCTCAAAAATCATGTCATGCAGCTCTCCCCTATATGAAAGTACATAAGACGCTTTTCATTAAAAAAAGTATCGGTATCGATATCGGTATCGGCGATACTGGCCCTGAAATACTTGGTATCGGATCGAATCCAGATTTTGTGGTATCGCCCACCCCTATGCAAGACCAGAGACCTGTAGTTCACTGAGCGGTTTCACACGAAAAAATGTGTAACTTCACAGTTTTACGACACATTTTTATTTTTTTGACTTGCAAAATGTTCTTTTAAAAATTGACAAACATCATATGTGTCATTCGTGGCACAATTCAAACGGGATCAAAAGATAACCTTTCCCACTCCATTGACTTCAATGTATAATTTCCCGCTTCCGGGGTCCCATGGAGGCTCCCGGAAGGGGAGGGACTTCGCCTCTCTATTTATAGGCAAATCTGGGCGTTACGTGAAGCCCACAAAAGCTGCACCGCATTTCGAGTCGGTTGTGATTTATAAAGGGAAACCGGCGTAGGAAGTGCTGTACGCACTTTCCTCGCCGGTGCGCAATGTTTGCTGAATCGGAAAAAGTCGGAACATTTCTGTAGCTATTTTTTGGATTTCTACTACGTAAGCAACCTTCCCACGTGAATCATACGCACGGCGTTATGAATGAGGCCCCAGACCCGGGCGACAGAAGGGTCATTCCAGAATTGGAGGACAATTTAGACACCAACATTTTTGAAAAATGAACCTTTTATTTTATAATTTTTTTTTATGTATTCAGGAAAAACAGATAATAAACCATCAAAAAAAGGGTTTTGCCCAGCTAGGCATCACATGTATATATTCCAATGAAGAATTACCCCTGTTACTCTAATTATAGTAACAGGGTTGAAAATCAATGCTAATTTGAGCTTTAACCTCAGGAAGTATTGCTAGATGTAGCATGTCATGCTACATCCTTTCAAGGCAAGGACAAACTTGGATATCTAATGCAAGAAAGATAACTTTGAAATGAATATGCTTTATTCTGATAATATCAGTAACAGGGTTGAGTGGGTCAGAGTGCCACACTCTTTTAAGACTGAAAAGATTGTAAAAATACGAAAAATAAAAGAGAGGACTTAGTTGTGGTCTACCCATGGCACTAGCACATGGCTTGCTGATGTCACTTCCACTGTGTCATCTGATTTACAGTTTGTTCACTTCCTGTGCCAATCTAAAAAGGTTTGGGTAACAGGGTTGAACGCATGTTGAGGGACACACCTTCTGTGCAAAATTACTGTTATTTAAAATGTGTTTATGATTTAACAAATTGATTTTACCATAACAAGAGACATATATCAATAGAATAATACCAAAAAAAGTAAATAAAATCCCTATTTTAAACGTTATATATGACATGCAAGTTGGTCACCAAGAAGCTGGGACAAGAGAAAAATGCCATCTTAGGGGATGTTCGAGAGCTATTTGATAATTTAAATAATATTTTGAAACCACTTTTTCTACAACTTTATATACATTTTGTCTCAAGACAAGTATGTTTAACACAACAAGTGCATGCTTTAGCATTTTGGGCATGGATTATTAGATTTTTTATATGGGGGACATGAAATGTCCTCCAATTCTGGAATGACCCAGAAGCTGGCTTTGGGGACGTGGAACGTCACCTCTCTGGGGGGGAAGGAGCCGGAGCTTGTGCGGGAGGTGAAGCGTTACCAGTTGGATCTGGTTGGGCTCACCTCTACGCACAGTGTCGGCTCTGGAACCTTACTTATGGATAGGGGTTGGACTCTATTCTTCTCCGGAGTTGCTCAAGGTGTGAGGCGCCGGGCGGGTGTGGGGATACTTACAAGTCCCCGGTGGGGTGTTTCGTTGTTGGAGTTTACCCCAGTGGACGAGAGGGTCGCCTCCCTACACCTGCGGGTTATGGGGGGGAAAACTCTGACTGTTGTGTGTGCTTATGCACCAAACAGCAGTTCAGAGTATACAGCCTTCTTGGAGACCCTGGAAAGAGTCCTGTATGGGGCTCCTGAAGGGGACTCTTTAATCTTGCTGGGAGACTTCAACGCACATGTGGGCAATGATGGAGACACTTGGAGGGGTGTGATTGGGAGGAACGGCCCCCGTGATCTGAACTGGAGTGGTGGTTTGTTACTGGACTTCTGTGCTAGTCATGGATTGGCCATAACAAACACCATGTTCGAACATAAGGATGCTCATAAGTGTACGTGGTACCATAGCACCCTAGTCAGAAGGTCCATGATCGATTTCGTTATCGTATCATCGGACCTGAGGCCGTATGTTTTGGACACTCGGGTAAAGAGAGGGGCGGAGTTGTCAACTGATCACCATCTGGTGGTGAGTTGGGTCGAGTGGCGGGGGAAGCCTCTGGATAGACCTGGTAAGCCCAAACGTGTAGTTCGGGTGAACTGGGAATGTCTGGAGGAGGCCCAAGTTCAGGAGGCCTTCAACTCACACCTCCGGGGGAGCTTTTCGGGCATTCCTGTGGAGGTTGGGGACATTGAACCAGAGTGGTCGGTGTTCAAAGCCTCTATTGCCGAAGCCGCGGCGGGGAGCTGTGGTCTCAAGGTCCTAGGTGCCTCAAGGGGCGGTAACCCTCGAACCTCCTGGTGGACACCGGTGGTCAGGGAAGCCGTCCGACTGAAGAAGGAGGCCTTCAGGGATTTGTTATCCCGGGGGACTCCTGAGGCAGTTGCAAGGTACCGACAGGCCCGAAGGGCAGCAGCCTCAGCCGTGGCCGAGGCAAAGCAGCGGGTGTGGGAGAAGTTCGGAGAAGACATGGAGAAGGACTTTCGGGCGGCATCAAAGTTGTTCTGGAAAACTGTCCGACACCTCAGGAGGGGGAAGCAGGGAACCATTCAAGCTGTGTACAGTAAGGATGGGACGTTGTTGACCTCAACTGATGGAGTGTTAGGGCGTTGGAAGGAACACTTTGAGGAACTCCTGAACCCGACAACTCTGCCCTCTATGGAATTAAACTCGTTATATAGTGCTTTAGGTCCTAATTGAATCAGTGCGTACATCTGCTACAGTGATGCCTCACAGTCCCCCTGGTGTGTGCACTGTCCTTATGCAGTGTGGTATTCATTTACTGCAAAGGATGACATGAAGACAGAAGAACTGTTGCTAAAGAGCATTCGTTTATTTTCCACAGGTTACTTCAGAAACAGGTAATTATGTACAAAATCTGGAATGTTGGATAAATGCATTTCAATCATCATCTCACTGTTTCCAGAGAAATCTTAGAAATACTAGCTATACATTAAAACCAGTGCCTCTGCATTGCAATTTATTGCTGGTTTTACAATCGCAAGTCACTAATGCCGTCATTAATTATTTTCTCAATTTTTTAAGATATTTACAATTTGATTAGTAAGGTCTAAAAACCAAAGAAGGCTGCTAAATAAATAAGAACGATACGGGAGCGTAAGAAACGAGCGACATGAATGAAGAAATGTTTTTATCTCCCTAGATTGTCTACCATGTCTCTATGTTTTTTTGCCATGAATATAAAGTGACCATTACCGCAGAAATCCCCTCAAAGTCAACAGAAATCACCAAGAAATTAATACAAATAATAAAAACAAATCATCTGTGTGAAATACTACGCTCTGTGAGACATTTAGGAAATCATTTCATTTTCATGTGGATACAATTTACAAATTCTAGATTCAGTTAAAAAATTAAGGGTACAGCTTCACTTAGAACTACCTTTAAACATTTGGACTGTTATATAAAAAGGTATATTTCATTTTGTGAACTACCAGTGTTTAAATTTGGTTCAACAGTGCCACAAGCATAAAATATAAATCTATTTAACTACACATGGGATCAGTAGAGGCCACAATCTACTGTAAACAAGTTGAGGGAATGCCATGTGCATTAGGATAAAACATTACATATTGTACAAATAATTCAGTGGTCACAAATGTGTTGTTGGAATTGAAGGGCCCATTATTTAGTGACTTTTATCATTCCCGTTTGCTGTGGAAACACGTCTCACTTAAAGAGTTATTTACCAGTGAAAGAATATTAACGGAGATGTGCACAGAGAATATGAAGTGACATAATGCTGCTTTTAAAACACATTTTCCTACATGTGACAAACATTAGGAATGATCTGAGAAGCAGCTTTGACTCAATTTGATTTTTAAAGTGGATTATTTTTGCACAAATGAACATGAGGAGCACAGTCAAACGCATTGGGCAAAGTGACACCATCTTTCACTTTTACACAACACAGAGAAATCTTTTTTTAAGCACTGTTTATATTTCTTGTGCTATGTCATTAGAAAAAAAACATGTTTTCACAATATAAAAAGTATGTAAAATCATTGGTGATTACTAAAGATTGTGTTTAAAAAAATGCTATCTGATGATCTTTTTGAAAATAAAGGCTTTAGTATTGCTTTGAAGCCATGATGCTGCAAATGCTGTGATGATGTGAGTATTGCTCGGGTTCTGGGGTCCTCCCCTGCTCAAACAGTTCCAGGTCTATGGCACTTGACAACTTGTTTCTCCCAGCTCTACTCTCTGTACAGCAAAGAAAACATATTGAGAAACGGTTCCAAAGTGATGAGTAAGAAGCGTGATTAAAACATCATTTCATAGACACAAAAGGCAAACTGTGGTCTTCTCCCATGTAAAAACTGACAGATGTTGAAACCCCTGCAAAATAAAACGTTCATCTCCCCAATGGCTGCCTGAAAGATGAAGCCCTTAAGAAATAAAAACACGAGTGAAACGTTGACCTGTTCTTATTCAAATATCTTCCCAATATCCTGCACTCTCCCTGTCCACAAACTTGCTTTGTTTCACTAGCACACCCGCCACGTCTTTCTACGCTTAAAGGAAGAGTTCCAACATTTTGGGAAACACGTGCAGCTCTTTCTGGTCACTGCAAGTGCTTCAAACTTCTCAGAAAATGTCCCAAAATGTTGAACTTCAGCTTCAAACTAAAGCTTCCGACTATCTGAACAGATTAAGGCTGAGCTAACACCTCCCCTCTCCCATTTCCCCAACATCCGAGAAGCTGTGATTCATTCATATTGCCAAGGATTGTCTTCCACACAGCGCAGGTAGTGGTGTGTGGGGACGGTGTGCAGAGCCGTGAGGATATTCCTGTGGAAGTGTCGCGTGTTCACAGGTTTATGGAAGCAGGGCTGGATCAAACGATATCTCTCCGAAAAACTAAATCAAATCACTTCCTCGATCTACATTCGTCTCCACAAGAAAAGCACGTAACATCGTCCTCCATAAAAGATCGCAGGGCAGACCACATTTCAACATCTTAGATTAAAAGTTAAAAAAAAAAGGCGAGGGAGTGGTCAATCCATGTCAATCTGCAGAAAGGAAACCTCATTCATGATCAAGGGCTTCTGAGTTGTGGACGAAAAGAAGAAAAACGAAAAGATGATCTGTACAGAGACCACAGTAATCATTTGCATCAGGTCACATCTTCAGCTTCTTTTGTATAAAAATATATATACCACAGTGATGGCCTTTTGAGGACTCGTACTCGTTTCACTTTGATCCACTACATTCAGTGGTTTTCCCCGTAAATCAAGGCTCTGCTATAAATAGTCCCGGCAGGTCAGTGTCCTCTGCTGCGTACAAAAATATGAGAGTCAACGTTAATGTCTCTGTTTGTCTCGTGTCCCTCAGCTTCAGAGGTCAGGTTCAGTCTATGCCTGCGCTTCTCTTACGATAATCATATCCACAGTGTTAGGAAAAGTCTTCAGGAGGGCCACTGCGTACCCGTGATCGATATTCACAAAGCTGTAGCCGTTCGCCTGGAAGAGACAGCATTTTGGTTAACATGGAGAACATCTTGATAAAGCTTTAACTAATCGCCAAGAATGTAATGATATTTCTGTGATGTTTTGTCAGATGGCAAAATACCTGGAGGATTTTATCTCCAGGCTGAAGAATCTTAGATGCCGGCCCCTCAGGTTGAACCCTCGTCACAAATATACCCTTAAATCAGACCCACAAAGGATAATTGTTAATTATGCAAATCACACATCAGTTTCTTCTAAAATAACAAATCATTGAATAAATGGCAATCTTTGAGTATGGTATTATAACTATTTGACTTACATTGTCGTCTGGGCGAAAAGGATTTCCCCGACCTCCCACTCCTCCTGATATACTGAAACCAAGCTCTGGATTTTTCTCCACTTTCACACGAAACTGAAACCAACCCACATTAGTCATTTACTGTTAATTACACAATTGACCTACAGTATGCTTGAAAAAACACACAGGAGGTCTTTCTTAAATGACTTGACAGCTCTTTGTGAAACAAAACTCTCGGAAATGAACATGAATATTTGATTCTTACTTACTTAAAACTCCCTTAAAATAATAGTTCAGCCTTTCAGCAACAAAGTCAATATGCATTTCCTAAGTTCCTAAGAAGAAGTTGCATATCAGATCCACTAGAGTATTAATATTCTCTTCAAACATCAGACTGCCTCAAACTGTGGAACTCTTCTTTTAACCAAGCTTCAGCTCAGCCAATAAAGACATCTAATAAAGAGTATTATGAAAATACAGTTCAGTGTTTCAAGTAGTTCTACCCCATGCCTCACCTCTTGCTGCAGAGCGTCAGGCGGGATACGCGGCGGCCCCTGGGGAGGATGGGACACTTTGAGCATCAGGTAATCAATGAGCTGCTCTCTGGAGGGGTGGCGGGCCATGGACCCCTGGCTCGCCTGTGGACGGACAGAGGGGCCCATCTGACCGTTCATCAAAGGCACCTAGGAAACAAAAACACATGAGGTTGGGATTGAGTTTTTAAATGAGCACATTTTACCACCACGTCTTGCTCTGCAGCCAAATGTCTGTGTGTGAACCTACTTTTCTGTGAGGGTCCATGGTGTAGCTCTGCTGTCCTTGGGGAAACACATCGTCCTGAAAGGGCAGACAGTGATGATTATTAACAGTGCCCAAACCCCACTGCACTGAAACTCATTTACAACAAGGATAACAGGCAGGACAGACGAGTACACACTGACACCAACGCTTCTTATGTCTAGGGATGACAGTAGGTCGTGAACGAAGGAGGTGAAAGGGACACAGCTAATTCACATTAGGAAAAGTGAGATTAAATTGTCCTTAAGTTTCTATTCAGTCTGAGAAGCGTGTTATTCTAAATATTGGCTTACGGGGGAAAAGGAGAATCTTAAATGTTAAGTAGAGAGGGGGTTACACAATGCTCTTATCTTTAGATTGTGTCAGAGCCTCTACAGATTATAATACCCACTTTCTAGTCACTCAAACACACACCTCTGACCACTTACCTTTTGCAAACACAGATTTCATCCCCACACACTATGTGAGAGGATGTGAAGTGAGTCTGAAGTGACAGGGAGTTGAAGTGAAGATGAGGAATGAGCAGAATATGGATATAAAGTGCAGTTAGAAGGAGAAGAGAATCACGGGTGTTTGAAGGATAATGCACACCATGATGATTATGATGTTAGAGCACCTGGCTGGCTTAAAAGGGGATGTTTTGTACCATAAATCTCTTTATCAACTTAGACTCTAATGAAGGAAAAGCCTCTTTATAAATAAGATGCTAATACAAAATTGCAAAAAAGCCTGCTTCAGTTTTGTTGCCAGGTACATTTAGAAAAAGATACTGCTGTAAATGTGTCACTAGATTTACTCCAATGTTAACTCTTTGCAAAAAAAAGAGACAGACAAATCTTTCTAGATTACTTTAATGCATGTGGTCGACAATACATTTTGCCAAACACAGCTTATACGTTTTTTGAAGGAAAATATTTGAGATAATTACTTGAAAATCTTAAGCTCTGCAGCATCCTTCATCCATTCAGTGTGACTTCAGCAGATACATCTGTCTCTGATTCTAGCATAAAGTATAGTTAAGCCTAGGAGTCAATTTGATGATGGTACAAAATATAAGTAGGCCCCTTTTAAACAAGTCCAACTGCACTACAGTAAAAGGAGACACACAACAAACCACCCATTTTACACTCAGAGGAGACAGTCACGTACTAGGAAGGGTCGGTGTTCATGAGAATCAGACGTTAGGAGAGACATTATACTTTCACTTAAAAGAAAGACAAGTGAAAGATTCTGAGGGTCAGTGATCACTTCTCAACACCCAGGAGAGAAGGAAACAGACATTACTCTTCTTCTAAAGGATGTGAAACTAGCAGGAAGCCCCGGCTGGTTACGAGCTGCAGGAAGGAGCTGACTTCAGGTCACAGTACTCACACAGAGGCCCAGCGCTCCGTAGGGCCCTCCGTCCCTGGCACTAAACACCAGAGACGCCTGGCTGGCATGCATATCCCTACAGCTGCCGTAGTGAGACCAGCTCAGCGGAGCGTTATTGGAATTATAGGAGCGAGACAGCGCGTTCTGAACAGAGGGACGACACGGGACAACCGGCAACACGGACATGTTAGCCGAGACCATGCACGAGTGATGACATAAAAGACACAACAAAAAGGTTTACAGCTTATAAAACACACACATGCAAGGAATCAGAAATATTGTGCACACGGCTGGGTTAGTAGGCTTTGGTAAACTCCGGACTCCATGTTAAAAGGTTCATCCCATCTAAATATCCACATATAGTTTTCGTTTAGTTTGCCCAGGTTTGAGACCCCAATAAAGGAATAGGTTCTGATAGCCAGTATATCTTGGATTTGTTTCAAGTTGGTATAATACCTTCTCTACTTCTCACCAACCCCTTATCAAATCTTTTATATCTCTTTTGCTTTTTTACTTTGAGATGCTTTCATTTCACTCCAAACCAACTACCTTTGAGCACCTGATAAAGCACTTGAAAATAAAATGGTTATGGTTATTATTATTTGGTTTCAAAACCAAATACATGAAACTGTATCCTTGTTGGGCTTCCCCTTAAGGACAATTGTATTCGTGCTGTTGGAGTCATCATTGTATTCTACAGTCCATATGTTAACCTTTACAGAAACAAAAAAGCTATTCCCGTCTGAAAATGTATTCACTGACATTTCACGTACCACAGCAGTACTTTTTTTACCTTTTCCATTTTCTTGTACTCGATGTGCCGCATCACCTGGTCTCTCCAGTCATTTGGCACCCTTCCCGCCCCGACTCCCCCCGGCACCTGTGCTGGCCCCTCCAGCAGCGAATGCTCGGACTTCACCCTGGCGGCGGGCCTCTTGCTGGGGCTGCTCTGCTGGTAGTTGAAGTCGCTGACGGACATGGTCCTCTCTGGAAGCTCGTGAGGCTGCGGCCGGGCGCAGGGAGGCCTGGAAGATCCCGGAGAGTCGATACTGTAAGTGCGTGCTGAGAGGGGCCTCTGCATGGCTTGGCTCATCGCCAGCGGCCCCCTGGCAAGGGTGTGGATGTCCCGGTATGTCATGTATTCCCCGTCAGGCACCTGTATGCGTCTGGGGTCGCCCATGGAGGCGGTGGAGGCGGTGCTGCTCTGCCTCTGCAGAGTGCTGCTTCTGCCCTGGCCTCCAGTAGAATAAGCCCACATGTCCCCGGAGGGTTTGGGAGCCCCCCTCTGCTGGGGCTGATGAGAGTAGGGAGGGGCTTGGTTACGGTTTGAGTAGTTGGTGTTGGCTAGTGAGTGTGGAGGAGGAGGGAGGTAGCCTTGCTGCTCAGGAGGCATGGGTGTCCTAGGGGCCCACAGACCCTCTTTAGGCAGGGCACTACTTGAGTACTGGATGTTGTACTGAGGGGGGGGGGAGGCCCATGGCCATGCTGGAAGACACGGGGTATCTGCTGGTGCTGGCAGGGGGCATGGAGGAAGACAGCAGGTCTGAGGAGGAGGCGGAGGAGCCGGGGTAGATCTGCAGAGTCTGGTCGTTGAGTAACTGACTGGCCGACTTGCTCCTGATGATGCTCTGGCCCTGAGAAGCCCCCGGCCCTGGGCCGGCCCCTGCCATCCTGGTCATGCCTGCTGTGTCATAGCACTCATCGCCCCCATCAAAGGAGAATAGCTTCAGTCCTCCTGATTCCATGTTGCTTACACTTTGACACTTCATCACCTGCGGGGGGTTGCACCTCTTCTCTGGAGACAGTTCCTCAGTGCTGCGAGAGAGAGACATGTCGCTGCTGGCGGTCGTTCCTGTCGAGGCCGAATGCACCGCAGACGTCTCCACTCTCATCGCTTGGCTCTTGTTCCCCAGACTGTTGATGCAGTCACTGACTTGCTGGTTTCCATTCAGGAAATGCTCCATGTTGTCATTGCTGAAGCCCTGCTTGCTGTCCTCTGGGTTGACTGAACCATTCTTGGTTTGATCCACATCGTCCAGCCGCACCATGTTGTCCGTTGGTAATTTGGACACGTTCATATTGATCTGGTCCCACTTGGTGTACGTTTCGCCCATGCCGTTGTTAATTCCCTTCTCGACGAAGGCCAGCCTGGCTTCCATGGACAGGTCATAGTCCCCCATTTTCTCTGGTGGGGTCTGTTGGGCTTTCAGAAGGGCTTGAAGGGATGTTTCAGAGCCGTTTCCATTATGGAGGAGAGGGGTGGTGTCTTTAGGCTGGTTCATGTTCTCATCATCATGCCTAAAACAAAGACGTAGATACATCAGGTTATGTAATAACGTCATGAGGAATACTCTCCTCTGTACTCTTTACTGCTTTTCTGGAGTTTCCTTTTCATAAAGTGTGTTCTAAAGGTTTGTGTGCATGTAAATGGTCTGCAAAGGCTAAAATCCCTGTGTTCCACCAGAGGGAGTTTCTCTCCCACACACTCCCGCCCCCCTGCCTGAAACGCCTCCGATGGACTCTGATGTTTACTTCTGCGATACAGGGACATCACTACCCAACTCTATTGGCTAGCTCTCAAACACATTGTACCTGATAGGCTAAGGGACGGGACATCTCTAAGCGGTTGACCAATCACAACAAAGCCGGCCAGCTAACCAATCAGAGCAGACTGGGCTCTGGTGTCAGACAGAGGGTGAAAAGAGGTGCTGCAGCACAGGCAGTATGAGAAAAATAAAGAGCCTTTTGAACATTAAAGCATGGAGACATGTAGAGACACTACATACTGATATACACCTGAACATCAGCAGGAGAGGACTCTTTAAAGTAGAGACACTAGATACTGATATACACCTGAACATCAGCAGGAGAGGACTCTTTAAAGTAGAGACACTACATACTGATATACACCTGAACATCAGCAGGAGAGGACTCTTTAAAGTAGAGACACTAGATACTGATATACACCTGAACATCAGCAGGAGAGGACTCTTTAAAGTAGAGACACTACATACTGATATACACCTGAACATCAGCAGGAGAGGACTCTTTAAAGTAGAGACACTACATACTGATATACACCTGAACATCAGCAGGAGAGGACTCTTTAAAGTAGAGACACTACATACTGATATACACCTGAACATCAGCAGGAGAGGACTCTTAAAGTAGAGACACTACATACTGATATACACCTGAACATCAGCTGGAGAGGACTCTTTAAAGTAGAGACACTACATACTGATATACACCTGAACATCAGCAGGAGAGGACTCTTTAAAGTAGAGACACTACATACTGATATACACCTGAACATCAGCAGGAGAGGACTCTTTAAAGTAGAGACACTACATACTGATATACACCTAAACATCAGCAGGAGAGGACTCTTTAAAGTAGAGACACTACATACTGATATACACCTGAACATCAGCAGGAGAGGACTCTTTAAAGTAGAGACACTACATACTGATATACACCTGAACATCAGCAGGAGAGGACTCTTTAAAGTAGAGACACTACATACTGATATACACCTGAACATCAGCAGGAGAGGACTCTTTAAAGTAGAGACACTACATACTGATATACACCTGAACATCAGCAGGAGAGGACTCTTTAAAGTGGAGACACTACATACTGATATACACCTGAACATCAGCAGGAGAGGACTCTTTAAAGTAGAGACACTACATACTGATATACACCTGAACATCAGCAGGAGAGGACTCTTTAAAGTAGAAACACTACATACTGATATACACCTGAACATCAGCAGGAGAGGACTCTTTAAAGTAGAGACACTACATACTGATATACACCTAAACATCAGCAGGAGAGGACTCTTTAAAGTAGAGACACTACATACTGATATACACCTGAACATCAGCAGGAGAGGACTCTTTAAAGTAGAGACACTACATACTGATATACACCTGAACATCAGCTGGAGAGGACTCTTTAAAGTAGAGACACTACATACTGATATACACCTGAACATCAGCAGGAGAGGACTCTTTAAAGTAGAGACACTACATACTGATATACACCTGAACATCAGCAGGAGAGGACTCTTTAAAGTAGAGACACTACATACTGATATACACCTGAACATCAGCAGGAGAGTACTCTTTAAAGTAGAGACACTACATACTGATATACACCTGAACATCAGCAGGAGAGGACTCTTTAAAGTAGAGACAACTACATACTGATATACACCTGAACATCAGCAGGAGAGGACTCTTTAAAGTAGAGACACTACATACTGATATACACCTGAACATCAGCAGGAGAGGACTCTTTAAAGTAGAGACACTACATACTGATATACACCTGAACATCAGCAGGAGAGGACTCTTTAAAGTGGAGACACTACATACTGATATACACCTGAACATCAGCAGGAGAGGACTCTTTAAAGTAGAGACACTACATACTGATATACACCTGAACATCAGCAGGAGAGGACTCTTTAAAGTAGAGACACTACATACTGATATACACCTGAACATCAGCAGGAGAGGACTCTTTAAAGTAGAGACACTACATACTGATATACACCTGAACATCAGCAGGAGAGGACTCTTTAAAGTAGAGACACTACATACTGATATACACCTGAACATCAGCAGGAGAGGACTCTTTAAAAGGTTTGTAGAATGATACAAACCTGCTTTTTGGCAGGAAGGGCATCTTTGCCTCTCTCTCTGGGGTGCACAGAGAGTTGTCCTGACTGCTGTCTGTGGTCAGAGACACTGAGTCCGACATGCGTGATGGAGATGAACAGTTGCTGTTGTTCTGGTTGCTGTTGGCAACTGTATCATCCAGCAAAGAGTCTGCGTCATCTGTTAATCAGAAATATTGCTGTTTGTATACTGTAAATGTAGTAACTGTCACTTTAAATACATATTTCAAATAAAAAACACTTTTACCTTTTTTCTCCTTACTTAGAGTCACCACTTTAGGCTGGTTGATGGAGATCTCAATTAGAGGGGGTCTCATCTGAGCCACTTTCATCTCTGCCTCTTCATCAGAAAGCTCCTCAGAATCCTGAGTATAAAAACAATAATTTAAAAGTGTATAATGTGTAAGGTTTGGTACCGAAATCCGATTCCGATCCGGTTCCAAAATTTAGATTCCATCGGTATCGTTTAGGAATGTTAATTTCGGTTCTGCTTATTGATATGTAGGAAAATATAGGAAATGTATCTCGCTGCTTTCTGTATGTTAGACGGGGGCGAGCGGGAAATGTAGCGAGCACAGTACCAGGGTTGGGAAGCAAAACTCGGTTCCGAGTAAGAACAAATAACAATTGTCTGGTACCGGGATAATAAGAGTTATGAGGACGAGCCCTTTTTCTCTTTCTACACACAGCTTCATCTGTATCAACCTATCTAATGGTCTTTCTCTCATACGTAATGAAGGTTATTAAGCATTTTAGCTCCTATGTTGTAATATTGACCGCCATTTCCTCTATGAAGTAAAGCAGCCTCCGTCTGTCTGTGTCCTCACATCCCCGAACTGTGAGACAGACTCGGAGGAGCAGAGGGAATCAGAATCAGATCAGAATATCTTTATTCGTCCCACATTGTTTATGAAGCATGGTATACAAAGTACATTTTTTTAATGAAAATAGGATTTATGACTTTCCAAACAGTGAAGCAGTTGGGCAGCTGTAACATTGCAGTATATGTTGGACACAGACTGTGGTTAGACTCTGTGTCACACAGGCAGGTTGCAGTGTAACAGCAGAGGAGACTGGGGGAATTGTACATTTTCCAATTGCACCACTTAGAACTAACTTGTGAATGCAAAAACAATACAGAGATGATTTTAATATAATTGTATTCAATAACAGCAACTAAAGTCATTTGTAAATATGAATACAGATATGACTAAATGTTTTCATAAATATATTTTTCAAAATATATTAAAAAAAGCAGAACCTGAATCAAAAAATCCCAACGATACCCAACCCTAATAATGTGCTTGTTAAATTTGAAATTGGGAGGATGAAAGAGTTAAAAGTACCTCCAGTGTGTCCTCATGGTTCATCATAGAGCCCCCTGCAGTTTTGAGAGGGACTCTGTGAGAGCTGTAAGAGTCGGAAGTGTCTTTCCATTCTGTGGAAGAGGAGTTTTGGCCATATGTGATGGAGGGCTCAATGTCTGACACTGTGCCATTGGGATAGGGAGCTTCAATCACCTAAAAAGAAAACAAATGTATTACAAATATTCCTTCACCTGTGTATAGAATGATCATTTCTTAAAGGGGAACTTAAAGGGGAACCAAGATTTATTTCCAAGTAAAATGACATTTGGCTGAAGCTGACCTTAACTCCCACGTCCTGCACTCCAATGTGGTTCCTCTCCACTGGTTTTGCATCCCTCCCCGATTCGTCACCTGACTCGTCCTCCTTCAGCCGGTGAGCCACAGACTGGGCTGTCTTCACCATGTTCTTCAGCTCCTCTGGGTACGGAGTGGGGTAGCGCTTCAGATTACCCTCCTGGGGGAGATCAGAAGAAAAATCACGCAGTTGGAGTTTTGACAGAAGAAGTGAAAATGTCAGGGGGAATTACATGTAGAAAGAGATGCATTCAATCATATGGACACATTTCTCACTGATACAAAGACATTAATGTTGATTTAAGTAAGAAGATGCATGTATTCAAATGTATTTTTAGTTTGAGCCATTGAACTCAACAGCAATATCTTGAAATGCCACATTTGACATGAAAACAGCAATATCAAATTGATGGTTGTGTTGCAAAATAATACTTGTGATGACAACAATGTCCTTATTGCTTGATTTTTCAAAAAGTGTTTGAGACACCTACCCTTGGGGGTGTTTCTCTCTCATCCTTGTCTTCGTCACACTCGAAGGCCACTTGAGCTCGGTGCTTGCGTTGTTCCTCCCAGAGAGCTGGATTGAAGCTTTCAGAGTCAGAGCTGGGAATGTCTAAAAATAAAAGAAGAAACAAGGAAGAGGAGGATAAGGTGTTAGTTTTTAATGTAATGTTTTGTATCATCATTTATACATGTCTGACTTTGACCACACGGTGGCGCAAAGACTGCATGAGGCAAAACATTAAAGAGCTGTGGAGAAACTTCAAATTCAGGAGTTAACCCTTTCAACTCAAACCATTCAATCATGAAGTATTGATACATGGAATTGTTGTTGTATTAAACGGACAAAAAAGCAAAAAGATCAAAAGCACAACATTAAACATTATTGCCAAAATGAAATTATGAAAAATGTGTCACTCTTCAAGCAGACAAATGATTGTTAAACATTACTCTGAGAAAAATATGCCAACAATTTAATGAAAAATGTGAATGATAGATCACTAGAATGATAGATCACTTCTTCACTGTCACGTTTGTATGACTCCTGTGTGAAGGGAGAACACAGCACAGGATGTATAAGAAAAATATATATGTGATTGTGGTTATGATGATCCGTGAACTCTGCAATGTTAGTGATCTGCCCTCTCACGTGTCTCTAAGTCTTATCGCAAATTAAATAACAAATTTGTAACCTGACCAGAATTTCATCCATTTTTTAAAGAATTGATATCATACTATATGATTAAAACTGTCATTTAAGCTTTCAGGTGGAATAGATGGCACTATAAAAGTCCAAATCAAGAACTCTTGTTTCTGAAATTGTTGACACTACACCAGAGTGTGAATGCACAGTGGATAATGTGAGTCACCTGGTGTGTGGCCGTCATATTGACAAGTTTTAAAACAATTATCGCAGTCAGGTCAAGACTTTTTCCAGCCTTTCAGGAAACACGAGGAAACAGATGAAAGCTCTTTTGGAAAATTCCCAGTTGATAAGCGTGGAAAATGGCATGAAGCAGATGGCTCTGAGATATCAAACAGAGAACAGGACCTGCATGCAGATACTTGAGCGGGGTCTTTTCTGCTGGTGCACCACATCACTGACATTGTTTCAGAAACCCAGCAGCTGACTCACTGCCATTTTGTAGTTCAAGCGTGTAGATCTTAAACCACTAATTACTCCAATGTTAAGACCAGCGGGGTCAACGCAGGCTGTCCCGTGTCATCGGAAACCAAACCAAACTAACAGATGCTGTTTCTGCATTGACTGCAGCTTTAGTCTCGAGTAACAAGGTCCCTCATGAAATATGAAAACAAGAATCCTTGCCGGCCACTTGTAAGATTGCTACGAGACAATTAGACTTACAAAACCACTTATTTCCCTGACTTTTCATTCTGAGTATAGACTATCAATTCCTACAAATTATCCTGAGAAAGTGCTCCTATTAGTTAAACAAGAACAGTTCATTTGTGTAATAGCCTAGTGGTACTGAATACATCTTAAATATCTAACTAAAAAGTGAAAAAAGGTCAGAAATATTTGCAGATTCAATTTCTCTTTTATGTTTTTCCATGATTATTCTCTTTGAATGCACAGTACTCACATTCCTCCGTCCTGGTTTGCTGGGGGAACATGTAGTTGGTCAGCACAGTTTTGTGTGTCTCTGGATCCTCCTCTTTCTGGAGCGGGATCAGGGGCTTCGACTGTGGGAGACAAAAAGTAGGTTTGAGTGTGCTATCTGCTATCAACAGTGCTACACACAGGGTCCTGGTGTCTCTGCGCCTCCCTTTCGCATTGGAAATTAACTTGGCTGTAACATTGGTACTTGATTAAACTCAAACTAGAGAACACATGGGGGGGAAACACATCATAAGATGCACCAATTAGGAAATTGATATGGTTCAACTACTTTCCCACAGGTCTTTGCAGCAGAGTTTCTCCCTTTAATCTTCTCCAAACCACCCACTGTCCTTGCTTTGATTGAAATAATACTTAAACACCTCTTGAGTGCCTCTTCCTGTCAACCATCCCTTGATAAAGCTGGCTTAAGCTCCATTAATGTCCCCTTGACCCAATCACCATCGCTGCACCTGCCCAAGAGAATCCCTGTATCTCAAAACTGCTGTGCCGGCTGAAAAATCTCTCCTTGATGTGATTTCGGCAAAACTGCACTCCTCAATAAGTAAGTAAATCTCATTTATAAACATGCAGTACCTTTATCGTGTCAGTGTTCTACAAGTCAATTAAGGACAATTACACTTTACACTTTGATTTACAAACAAAACGTGAAGAAACAACACTAAATGCATGTTTTCACAAACAGATTTGAATGGAAAACAGTCTACATCGACACATCTCGTGTGTTTTTTAAATCCTCAGGGAAAAAGCTTAATCACCATTGGTCCACAGAGCTTTGGTCATATGACCTTGGAGTCCTGTCTCTATCTCTATGTGTGATCAATACATCAGTCAGGTTGGTAAATCAGGTGTTATTGGATCATTACAGATATATATCAGAATTGGCATGTATTTCATTATACAGCGAATTGAGGTACAGATATGCTCAAGACATATTAGTATATTACGCAATTTATTTATGAATAAACTACTGCCTTTAAAGTTCTCTATTGGCTGGTTTCTTGTTAAGAAATGTACAAGGGTCACGGTGTGATTGATTGTAGAGAGATGTGTAAATGATAAGAAAGTTCTCTCAATGTTTTCTGCTTTTAAAAGGCCAAGGACTTTTTAAAACTTTAAGACACATTCTTTTATTGACAATGTGTTGAGTCAATTAAACAGACACTTAAATTGTCTAGTAGCGATGAAACAAAGGCTGAATTATTTATTAATTGATTTCAGAATGCGGTGAGTCAACAGACTATCATTTAGAAGCAAAGCTGGAGCAAGCAAACACAATCAATATACTCCCGCAGCATCTTCTGCTACAGTACTTTTACATTAACACGCCTCCGATACGCTGGAAACGAGCCCTTCAAGAATTCCTTTCCCACACAAAGCTACACTGCTATGACAAAACGAGACAAAGTCCCTTCCTGACGCACAATCTGAGCGGACTCAAACGTTTCCACCTCTGATAGGCTGATCTTGTGTCCTGTGCAGGGCCACATTATCCAAGGCAGACTTCAAGCAACACAACTTCTTCAGTGACCTTGATCGCTCGACATCTGCTTCACCTCCGGCTAGTTGCTGCTGCTTTTTCTCACAAACGGTTTCCCTGTCATTCCAGTCTCAGTAACGACACTGTTTGACAGGCATGCCTAGATGACCATACTGTTGTCTTTCAACAGGTAATCATGTAAGCGTAATATCTTCTGACACTCATTAGGATCCATCCGGAACTTTAAAAATGTAGTATTTACGGTTTCTCTGTCTAACCTGCACTGCTATTGGGCCCGATCAAATGTCCTGGAAGTGGTGTACTGAATTTGCAATGTGTTTTCCTTGGCCTCATTGGATTCATTTACAGCTGAATAAGGTGGCGAGTAACCTACCACTACTGTATCAGATTCATATTTAATTGATATAATATGACCTGGTTTTCAGACAGCCACATTGCAGTCATCTGGTTCAGTTTAGTGAAACTGTAGGGTAGATTCTTCAACCTGCAGAGGAACAGAAACCACACAGGTACTCAGTCGTCTTGCATCAACAACAATGCATGAGCAAAAGTGACAAATGACTGCCATATGAAGTGTGTAAGGTCATTTTAATGTGTGACGGCCCACTGTAAAGATAGGCTTAAGCCTATTTTTCGTGAAAAATGTAATGTCAGTGCTTTGGGATTGTTATTCAGTGCATTTGGCACAGAGCAGACTCAAGGCATGGAAAACCCCTGATTAAAACTGTATTGAGGCCGTAGCTTCCTAACCATCCCAATGTCATTCTGGCCAGAATGAAGGTTATTTCATCATGGTGTGGTAATTATCATTATATGTTTCAGAAAGTGTGAGATCAACTACTTTGCATTCATAATGAAGCATTTATGCAAGGCTACAGGAGTGCCTTTCAAGAAGCTTCTTTTATAAGGACCTGCTCATAAATATTTCATCATAGATCCATCTGCAGATTGTTTCCTCTATAATTGATTAGCCCATCAAATGTCCAAACATTGTCAACAATTAGTCTTAAATGCTATGCTGACGTCTTAAAAATAAATTCTATTTCTATGAATAAGAAACAGAGAATTCAGTGGCCAACCGTCACATTAAAGATAATGAGTTAAAATGTTGCTTCAAAATGCCTTTTGCTAAACCATTGATTAAAATCATTTTGTCCTTGAGCTTTGATAAGCGTGAAGACTGTCAGTCAGGACTCACTTGTTGTTACTGAGATTGATGACCTTGAGCTTCTGCATGTCACCCATTTCATCAGGCAAGGACTCCAGCTTGTTGGAATGTAGGAACAGCACAGTTGCATTCTTCCAGCTGCCCATCTGCGAGGGAAACAAACCGAGGATTCAGAGACGTTAGCCAACAAGGCTGGCTGTTACAGATGAGCAGACTGGCCTCTCACACCCTTTAACACATCTCTATTCTCCACCAACACACGTTCTTCTATACTGTAATGTGCATACTCACCTCGGGGGGGAGTAGGGTAAGGAAGTTGTGATCTGCAGCGAAGGTGCGGATGCTGACACATTGACCGATGGTAGAGGGCAACGCTTCGATCTCATTGAAGCTGCAGTCCAGCTCATCCAGAGAGTGCAGTCTGATGCAAAGGAGGGTAGTGAGACGTTCATCAATTGATGTCATTATTATATACAGCACTTTATTATGTTAAATCTTGGTTAAAGAACATAGAATTTGTAGTGTTCCTATAAATAATTGGAAGACTTGAAAGAGGATTAAGATAAATGATTAAAACTGAACCATTCCAGGCAGATTGATCCTGACCTTAGGTCCTAGTATGTGCCAACAATCCTGGATCCCAGAGTTCCCATAATGCAACTCAATTACATATTTTGAATAAACACTCCCTGCCTTTTAAACAAGGACATCTTTTAAACTCCACATCCCCAGTGTGTATTCACCACACCCATGCTAAGCTAACATAATGAAGCTTCCTCGGAAAGCTCCCTATGGAGCCCCAGTAGACATTATAAGACCACTTTCACAGGCTCATTAAGTTTTATGACAAGTAAACTGAAATGCATGAGCAAACATCAGCAGAATGTCCCTTTAATTCTAATGCATCAAGCTGTCAGTAAGTATAGATGTCATTACTGGGTAGCATAGATTGTAAAATATTTCTTGATTGCCCTTCAAATATACTTTATACAAGATGGATGTAGCTAACAGTGAAATAGATGTTTACAACAATACTGATGCATCTTAAAAGCTTCATGGGACTGAACCCATGTTGACACAGAAGAGCTGAGCAGCTGGGGCTTTCTGCTGAATGAAAACTGCAAATGCGCTCTGGGGATTCAGATGAATGCGAAAAAAGAGTCCATGTTCCAAAACACGGCATTCGACCCCTCCCTGTGGAGTATAAAACAGGGACAGACCACACTGTGCACAAACAGCGGAATGAATAAAAAACAGCCATGTATAACTGACAAATGTATCAGCTTGGGATCCTTGCATGGGATTAAGCCAAACCATAGGCTTTGTCACATAATCTGTGTCAAATGACATGAGAAATATTCTAACATATGGCATAATGGACAATGCTTGTTTGGAAACAATGGATGAAAAAAGGGACTGCAGGAGTAATTGTCAGTCAATGTAGATGTATCTCTCTGGTGGATGGAGGAATGGACAAAGAAACCAAAGGATTTGGATTATGTGGACCTGAGTCACTCTGCATCTGCTGCCTGCTGGGTTTACCTGCTGCACACAACATCAGCTGAGAACAGCTATGGCTGATTTAATCAGTAGTGTGTTGGAGGGTCAATTAATTACTCCATTTCCATTCATCAATACGGCAGACTCAGAACCATGAGACTCAATTATTGTCAATCATACTTCATAATCATGTCCGGTATCAAGTCATTCAATATGGTCAGCATTAGACCAAAACAAATAACATTATGTTTAATGGGAATATCTGATTTATCCAGACAGACGTTTTGTGCCATCAGGGGATGGCAGATGAAAACAGCCCATCATTTTCTGATATTAAAGCTATTGCTCTAATGCTCACCCTCCGACTGAGTCAGGCAGATACATCAGCTGGTTCTCATCCACTTTCAGTGCAGTCAGTTTCTTCAGTGAGCCTATAGTAGGAGAATTAGAGAGACGCATGCAGAAGCTCATGTCAGTTATTGATTATAGCTTGCTGTTGAAACCACATAGAGGAGGATCCATTACAGCGTGTAATTAGATTATTTCACACTGTCGTCAATACTATAATCCAGTGGTTCTCAATTGGTCAGGCCTCGGGACCCACTTTTGGGTCGCGACCCACCAGTTGAGAGCCACTGCTATAATCAGTTAGTAGTAATGAATGCTGACTCTGTGCACCTGGACTTTGGATTTAATTAACTTGGTATTCAAATATGAATGATTAGGTTCATAGCAGGTCATTTCAAATATCCGCTTTGCTTCCTTTCAACACAAAAGTTGTATCTACTCTTTCGCAGTGTCCATTCGTCTATAAGGGATAACTAAAAATGAGAATAAAAAAAGACTCCATAGTACCAGAGGCCACTGTTTGAGTTATATTTGCATTACTTGTTGTTTTAAAACATACTTTTGGCATCATTTTGTTTCTTTTTGTAAAACTTCACATTTTGTGTGACTATATTGTAACTGGGGAAACAGTGACTGCATCCTCTTCTGCGATAAAGTCTGAATGCATGACTTTAAAAAGTAGGTCCGCTTTTATAGTTATGAAAATGTATTTCAGCTAAGTCGTAAAAACATTGCAACATGTAGGAAGGGGTCCAAGAATGACAAATATATTGGCAACAGCTACAAGAGTTGAGGTGTTTCATAATGGGTTTCCTTAAAATAAGTGTGTGTGTGTGTGTGCTGTAATCTGTACCGATGGAGCCTGGCAGCTGTGTGAGGGCATTGTTTGAGAGCAGAAGGTCCTGCAGACTCTCACAGCCGCAGATCTGCTCGTCCACCATCTCCAGGTTGTTCTTTGAGACATCCAGGTATACCAGCTGTTTGAGCATCCCTAGCATCTGGATAAAAAAAAGGAGACAAACTATTAATGCAAATAATTGTCACTAATATGACATTATTCAAGAATTGGGCAAACAATTTGCTGTATTCAATATTGGTTTATATTCCCTAAAGACGTCACTGCTTATAAAAGGCCAGACTGTGATTACAGATGATGTTGTTGAAATGCTGGCAGAATAAATAATGCTCTAATTATGACCCAGTTACCAACAAGCTGGTCATTTGGATGAAAAATGAATCTCATCACACAATTTGACTATAAAAAAACATCATTATAAATGAATTATGCTCCAGGGAAAATAATGACTTCACAGCTGCAGATGTTTGTTGTTATTATTGGGACATCTGCGGATCCAAAAGTCTTCATTGTCTTCTGTAAGATTTGCTGATAGTGTTCACCCAGCAGGAGAATCTTTTTAAACTGCGGCTCCTTCTCTGCCGGTTTTCAGAGGGCTCAAAGTCTGATGCAAACTGACTGGGGTTCATTTTGATGAAGATTTAGGCAGACACATAGATTGAAAAAAAAAGAGGAATAATCTCAAGGTGACGTCTCGGGGCAGAGCAGCCTCTGAAAGTATGCATAGGATTCACTGTAAATTATACCCCAGGTAAAAATGTCAGTCTGTTCCCGTCTATCCACAGCTCCTTGATTCCAGTCAGCTGCTCCAACACCTCAGGCTGCACATTTAAAGAGAAAAAGGGAGGTTAAGTGTTGGAGACGTGCGACTGTTTAATGGTGTGTTTGTGAAAAACAGTTTAGCTCATTACCAAGCTAAAAACGAACTGTGAGGCAAGTTATTCATTCCACAGAGACTATTATGTATTGATGAATTACTATCTTCAATTGAATACAAAGAAAGAATGATGGCCTGTGTGGGACATTTGAGCCTTTGCAGACCATTTGGTGCACAACAACCTATAGAACACACTACAGGAGAGGGAAAACACTTTATTAAATGAAGGAGAAGGAAAGGGAATGGATTATGTAAGGAGGAGATGTCAGCAGCAGTAAGGTAGAAAGCCATGGGCATGGACAGGCAGACCGACAGATACTCACCACTTCAGTGAACTCATTACTCCCCAGGTCCAACCGCTCCAGCTGCGTGAGCTTCTGCATGCTCCTGTACACACAGGGACAGACAGGGAGAAAGATCTTCAAATCAATGGGAAAATCAGCCAGGATTATGAGCAATGGGGTCATGCGCTTCAAAAAGGAAGCCAAAAGAAAAGGATTCATCTTTCATATTTCATGCTATGTTTTGGATAGCATACATGCTCTGCTCATGCTCCTTTCACTGAATAATTTTACGAGAGAATAAATACATTTTACAGCTCGGGCTTGACACAAGATATGCTTTAAATAATGGAAAATGTTACGTATGCTAGCCCTAAGCCTCGCTCCAGAGTTTTCTCTCCACATTCAGGTCAGTCTCACATTCTTTGCTACACTGTAAACAACAGATACAAACCAGGACTACTTACAGTCTTTGCTTTATTTAGCTGATTACCAGTGACAGAAAACTTGGGGGTTGAATACTGTTTTTTTCAAATTCCAAGCATAAATTGTGAATAAGAATAATTCTCCCATTTCTCAAATCTGCTGGCAAGATGGCTTTCAGGGCTTTTAACCCCCAATAGCAACTGCACATAGTAACTATCGCAGAGCATACATAAAATACTTTAAATAGACGTCACAACAGTACATAACAAAGGTCAAATTCTTTCAAAAAAAGTACGAGTTCAAGATTTGCTTCACTTTCTCTGAGCTAGTCATAAAACTTGAGTCAAGAGTTTAAATTGTGTTGTACTGTAATTCTGGCATGATAAATGATAGTGTAACACAAATCAAATGTAGGCAAGAGCAACAAAGACTTATGGAAAATCTGAAGTTCAACAAAATAATCCTCCCTACTAACAAAAGCGAAAGACCATGAAATGGAGATGTACCAAGTTGTGTTTGGGAACAGATATGATGATCCCTTCACAGCAGGGATTAACTGTGTTAAACACAAGTGAGATTGAGCAGAGGAATGGAAAGCAGAGGCCCACCAACACTACTGTCTGCTTTTAGGCCTTTCTCATCAAATGAGAATGTAAAACATACGGCACAAATTAGAAATGTGATTTAAGCTGTTTGGTGATTTTTCTTTAACTACAATATGAAAACATTAATCATGTTGATGTTCTTGAGCATTAGCCAGCTTTTCTGATTTCTTACTTCAACGTTGGCAAGAGCTCTCCATGTGTTCTGAAAGGAGTAAGAATGAGCTGTGCTGGCTCATCTAAAGAGTGAGTTCACTAGCAATAAAAAACACACACTTTGGCTGATGACCCCAAGTTGTGAGGAGCACAGCATCAGTCTTTAAAATACAGAGCAGCGTATGGTTTATGCCTGAGCTGGGTGTGTGTGAGAGAAAAGAGGCTGCACTTTCTATGTGGAAGCCCTGAAAAGCCTTCTCCTGCCCCCCTTTTGTGCACACACACATTGT